AAAAACCAAAACCTTGTTTGCACTGCCCAGAAAATAGAATATTTATATCCTGCTCTCATACGCCCAGCTGCAAATTTAAACTTTGCGATACAGATGGTATTGAAAAGTTAGATACTTGGTCTTTTAAGGAAGTGATATCACTTGCTTAAGTATGTTTTGGCACTGGGTATCATGCCTAAATGTGTCTTGTATTCTCATGATGCATTGATCCAGACATCTCATTGAGATTATTCTTTCAAAATATGATTATATGAGAATGGTCCAAGATTAATTTAGGGCAAGTTTATCCAGTTTATTTTATTAAGTGTTTGAAAGTTTCAAATGGCCAAAGAAGGGCCAGTAGTAATTTTGCAGCAATTTATAGAAAATACAAAACACATTCAGGTTTTTGCATTTTCCTCACCCATTCATGCACATTTCAATGCAATTTCATCAGGTTGTTTTACCTTATTGTGTAAAGTTTGTTTTTGTTTTGTAACGTTGAGTCAGACTTGATTCCTGGCAGCAGTCTATGCAGTTTACTTAGCAAGATTTCAGTGGTAGTTTACCATTATCTTCTTCCTAGGCTGAGATAAAGTGACTGGTCCAAAGACATTCAGCTGGCTTCCATGTCTAAGGCGGGACTACCCATCAAGTTTCCCTACTCCTGGTTCAGTGCCTTAGCATCAAACTGTCTCCGGTTTTGCAGAATATTTGTTATTTACTGATTCTATTGTTACCACTATTGGCTGGCGTATAGGCTAAATACATGCAATATATAAATAAACAAGATAAATTGTGAAGATGAAAGAGTCCACAAATGCACATGTTCCAGAAATACTTGCTTTCCTACATTTGCATGAACCCATCTTGTTGAGATTTTTTTTTCTTCCTTTAGTTTAGGGCTTTCTACAAAATATTTGGCAAAGTGATGCACTTTTTAAAAATTAGCCAGCTGTTTTCCTGGAAAATTCAGAAAAAGGGATAAATGATTGAAAGGTAATATATCCTTCCCTATCCTTTTTCCTGTCAAGGTGGTACCTCCATGCTACCTTCATTCTTTAATTACCATATTATACTGGACACTGGGATAAAAATCCATGTCTCTTAAGAGATGAATTTGAGCCAGGAGTCAAAGTACTGATTCTTCTATTTTACTATTTGTCCTATGTTCAACTGCAAATGGAAAAAAATGGATGCAAAACAATTCTTCAGGGGCAATATATAGCTCATGTTCAATAGATTATCTGCTAATATTAAGATTCTGGAAACTCAGTTGTCAACTGTATTTTTTAACAGCATTCAACAAGCAAATATAATACACAGCTTGATAATTCAGCCAAATTGCTATATTATGACAATAATATAGAACAGGCTATCTCCTTATTACAATTTAGTAGTCAAGTACAAGTCATATTTTTTCAGTCTTTATAGAATCTAGACTTTACAGCCAGTTTGGTCTATGGTTAAAGCACCAGAATAGAAAGCAGAAGTCCATGAGTTCTAGTCCCATGAAAGCCAACTGAGTTTGACCTTAGGCCGCTCTCTCTCTCATCTCAACTCACTTCACAGGATTGTTGTGGTGAAAATAGGAGGAAGAAAGAGTATTAGGTATATTCTCTGCTTTATTTGTAGAAATAATAAAGGTGGGTTAAAATAAATAATAATAAATAATTTTATTACTGTATCATCTGACTATATTTTAGTGAGTCACCCAGGACTACTGAAATTGGATGGCATATAAATTTGTTAACTAAATAAATGACATTAAAACTTTTGGTATCAAATCCATGGTATTGTTCAGATTTTTCTCAGTAGGATACAAGTTTACATTCATGTTAACTGAATTACCATCAATAATCATGTTGGCTGCAATGATTTGATGAGCATAAAATGACATTGAAAAAAAATCTATTGAGCTTAACTGAAGTGATGCAACAATATATTTTGGTTTGAGTCTATTATTTCTTCATTACAGTATTGTGTAAATTGGAAAATACATATCATATGCACAGCTTTTTAGCAGGAAATTCAGCTTCTGTGGTTTTGCTGTAAGAGGAAATGAAACTAGCTTTTGGTATCTTAATATGTATCATTTTTCAAAAATAGAAAATACCTCAAAATAAAGACTATTCTTTTCACAGAGGGTTATTTTTAAATAACCAAATTACACATTCAGCAGAATCAAGTAGCAAAATTTTCTTTTAAAAAGTGTACTGCATTACATAGAAAATTGTGTAACTGAATTCACTCATATCTACCCCATCTTTATAGAAAAACAACTCTAAAGGCAAGGTTAGGTTGCTATTTATAGCTTACTAACACAACCCACATGGAAAAGCTATTGAGCATGCAATATCAGATTACTTGATTCAGGACAACCTTTCCATTTTCCACATTTACTTTTATCCAGCAACAACTTTTGCATTCTATTAGAAAATGTGACCTTGATTATCTGGAATTTTCTTTCATTAAACATATGTGCATGTCAGTACCAGAATCTGTTGTAGAACTGTTGACCATTTTTGAACTGCCTGTTTTTTATGTGGTCTAAGTTAGTTATGAGGTTTCATCTATTTTTAATAGAGACTAGAATAAATCACATAAAATAACATAGAATAATAGAAATGGAAGGGACTTGGAGGTCATCTAGTCCAACTCCCTGCACAAGCAGGAGAGTATACTGTACCATTTTAGACAACTGGCTGTCCAGTCTCTTCTTGAAAATCTCCAGTGATGGGGCATCCACAACTTCTGAAGAGAAGGCATTCCACTGGTTGATTGTTCTGTTAGGAAATTTATCCTTAGTTCTAGGTTACTTCTCTCCTTGATTAGTTTCCATCCATTGGTTCTTGTCTTGCCTTTGCTGTTTGGTAAATAGTTTGCCCTCTTCATCTTTGTGACAGCCCCTCAAATAATGGAACACTGTTATCATATCAACCCTAGTCCTTCTTTTCACTAGACTAGACATACCCAATTCCTGCAACTGTTCTTCGTATGTCTTAGTATCCAGCCTCCTAATCATCTTCATTGCTCTTTTCTGCCCTCTTTCCAGTCTCAACATCTTTTTTATATTGTGGTGACCAAAACTGGATGCAGTATTCCAAGTGTGACTGAAAATGATATGCAAACACAGATTAGAACTACTTATGTATTAGTGCTTTAGTTTTTTATAGTCATTGCTAGTACTTGAAGACAGAAGCCAAACTGGTGATGAGAAAATGCTGCTGCAACAGATTGTAACTGCTTGAAATCTCCCTTCACACAGTTCACTTTCAGCCTATATAAACAGATAAGTCTGTAACTTGTGGGTTTTGTGAAATATTTTAGGAACCTTTCTATTCTACCACCTACTATATTTGACAGCACAGTATAGCAGTAGAGTTCTTCAAGTTTTTGGATTCTATAATCTCCCAGGATTTGAAATAGTCACCTAACATTAGAGCCATCATTTAAAAAACCACAAAGAATGTTCTTCCTGTGTCAGCTCAGGAAGTTCAGACTGCACCAGAAGCTGTTAATACAGTTTCACAGAGGAATCATTGAGTCTCTTATTTATACTTCTGTAATGTCTGGATTGGTACAGCAACCAAACAGGACAGATACACATTCCACTGCATAGTTAAGACTGCAGAAAGAACAACTGCAAATCAGTTTTCCATAGAAAACCTGTATATTGCTCCTGTCTGAGGGCTGAGAAAATATCTAGACCCCTCATAATCTCAACATAAATTGTTTCAATTCCTCCCCTCAGGAGGCCACTATACAACATTGCATGCGGAAACAATTAGAGTTTCTTCCCTCATGCCATCCCTCTGCTGAACACCTAATTCTCACAGTACTAATGTCTATGTACTTTTACCCATATTATATGGCTGTAGCATTAAATTATCATTGTCTTTACTACCCCTTCTTATTGATATTATGATTATTACTGTTGCTTTTCTCTGTACAGACAGCTTTTGTACCAGAGACAAATTCCTCGTGTGTCTAACCACACTTGGCCAAATAAAATACTCTTTTCTATTCTATTCTATTGCAGTCATCTTAACTAAACATATATTCTTAAAAGGGGGGAAGCAATGTATTATCTCTCTATGGCTTTGAGGGATAAATCAAGATGTCATGTGTCTGATTAATGAAACACTTAAAAGGACTTTCAGGCATATTTTCTCCTAAAAGCATTTATTAAGGTTACAGAGACGTCAGTAGGCATGGTGGAAATGCTTAGATCTGGATCCTTTTCCGTTGTACATACATTCCAAGCATTTTTCCCTGCCTCTATTTTGGGGTCATAGTTCACATCTTCCAATTAACTTGGAAGATGTGATTTACTTCCGGTTTCTTTTCCCCGGGCTTTCACTGTTGCCTGATTTAACTATAAAAATACCAGACAGTTCTGCATATTGTCAAAGCAAGAATATACAGTATTTGCAGCGTTGACACAACTATTATCTTCTTCCTTTGCTCATCATCTGGGATTATGATCATGACCATGATGATCAATAGAATATTGAACAGTTCTGAAGAATATTTTATTGGAAACAGGATATCATTACTATTACTCAGTATATTTATTTATTGCCTTTCCTTCAGGATCACCAGACAGCTTATATGGCCAGCCCCCTTCATTCCATTCCCCAGCAACAACTCTGTGGGATTGATTGGGCTGAGGAAGTTTATGGCAAGCCCAAAGCCAGCCTGTGAATGTCCAGTTCTCCCCAATTCTAGTTCAGCATCTTAGCCACTACATCATACTAACTCTCATTTTCTTATCTGAATAAATGCCAGGTTTTAGACACATTTCCTATAGGCAAATATGACCTATGGAGATGCTTTAAGAAAAACATGTTATTTCTAAAATAAAACTAGAAAAACAAACGTGTTTCTTCATGTTTTAGCATCAGAAAGTGAACAAAGAAATAAATTGGTGGCAGTCAAGTGCGAACATACATGAAAACAGGAGAGTCAATGCCCCATAACGTAGGGGAGAAATGATCACACAAAACACGTTTTAAAAAGGCTCTTTTATAATCATCATACACATTAGATCCATTATGATTTATCTTTCCCTCTGTATACATGCATACATGCTGAAAATTATGAAGACACAAAGAAAATTAAGTACCAATAATCACCCCAACCAGTTTAATACAGAATTACATTCATACAAGACCGCATTTCCTTTATAACCTCTTGATGAATTATAAAAGAAATTTCACATAATTGTCAAAGATATTGTACGTTTTGAAAATTAAATGTCTTAAAGTGTTTAAAGGAAAATGTGTTTAATATCCTTAACATATGTAAATTCTCAGTGCTTATTTTGTCTGCTTGTTTCATTTGTAAATGTTTATATTTGACACTGAAATTGAAAACGTATTTTATTATTGTGTTAACCTTTTTTCCCCCATCAGAGACATTTCATGCAAATAGCTGTAAACAATTTAAATTCTATCTGTCATCCCCAATCTAGGGTTGGATGTTTGGATTTTTATACTGCATAATTTTTCTTTATGGATGCCCAAGAATAAATCATTAATTATGCTATAATTAGTTCCCATCCATACTCAACTGTGCATTCAAGCAAGAAAAAAATGCTTAAAGGAGAGTTTTGTTCCCATCAGTCTACAGAAGCAAGCTCACAGATGCTCCATTATATATTTCCCATTGATTTCTGTTATCCAGAAGAATTTAATTTGCAGAGGAAAGGGAAAATTCAGACAACACCTACTGCATTTCTGATTTTTCCCCCCTACCCCCTTTGACAAGTTAGTTTTGTTACTTACCAAAAATATTATTCATTTTCTCTTCTTAATTTTCTATGCAAATGCTAGTAAGATAGCACAATTTAATTAATAGAAGAAAAACAAAGAGATCAATGTTTTTCAATATTCATTTTAATTAAGCCTATGAACAGTAACAAGGGTCTAAGAAGTTTTGAGATTTAATTTGCAGCCTAATCTTAAACATGTATTTAGCATTACATATCATTACATTTAATTAAATGTATTTCTTTGCAAGTATTGCTCAGGAATTCAGAGAGAGACCCTTGAAGGATCCTAAGATAATCATGCAGAACTTTGACCGTAAGTCCAAAGCTGGCAGAATACAACCATAGTACTTCTTATTCAGTCAGTTTTCAAGTCAACTTTTCCAAAGCAAAGACAGTGGCAAACCATGTTCAATCTTCATAGATTCTGTAATTTAAAAAAGTATTGATTTCTATATGTTATCTATCCATCTATATTCAAAAGAATAATGATATAAGATTATCTTGAAGTACATCCTCACCATCCCTGTTGTAGGATATTCAAATATGGCTTATAGTCATCTGGAATGCAACAAATATTTTACATCTTTATACATTCACAGAAGTGAGATTGGCAAAAGGTGAATTCTGACATAATAGAAAAATGTGACATAATTATTCAGATGCAGTATGAAGAAATCTCTTTGCTTTTCTGTACCGCTTTCCAATTAATTAAAACAAAACCCTTAGTTTCAGACTGATTGAAGGATAAAAGTATTCCATTGGTTCCTCTAGGCCCCTACTATTTTAATTACTCAGAATATGTCTGGGCCCATGGGAAGTAAAGGTACAGATTCAGTATGGAAAAAAGAAAGCCCATCACTGCTTCTTAGAAAAAAGGAAGGCTGGATAAGGTCAGCAGACCAACTAGAGTGGCTAATTCTATAAGCAGAAATGAAGGAAGTGGGTTGACAAAGTGGATTGTGCATTCATAATGCATAGAAGAGAAATGAAGTAGGGAAATATGGCCATATCATGTACAAGGAATACTGTACAAATGAAAATGTTTTCCTAAATTAAGTAAGTAGAGAATCAAATTAATGGTTTTATATTTTAATGTTCTTGCTGCTTGTTTGCCTTGTATTTAGACTCTGGAGCAATTATTTGTCTACCCTCAAAGGTTTGACCTTTAGAAATAGTACCCTTGAGACTTTCTGAGTGTACCAGCTCAAAAGGGCAGAACCAGATTCCCTAGTTGATGCTAAAGAAACATATATTGGTATTTTGAATAATCTGGAAATGTTCATTACCCCATGGGTAGTAGAAGTTTTCAGTTTGTGTACAATAACAAGAATTATGAATTGTGTGGATGGGAACATAGGAAACATACGTTGGATCAGCTTCTTCTCTAACTAGTTCAATGTATCTTTTCCAACTGGCATCAGCTAGTTCCCTACTTTCTGTCTGAAAGGCATTTTTGCTGGAGAAGCCGAAGTACAATTTCTCCCATTGAACAGCCTAGCAGAATTTATATCCTGATTCCTATTTTAAAAGTTAAGCCTTTATGGAGTTAAAGTTAACACTGTAATTTAAAAAACTGTGCATATTACCATACCTTTGGAATTATCAGAAGAGATAATTTCAGTAATAAAACAGTTAATGTTTTTTAAAGTAGCCCCATTTGCATATTTGCTTTCTCAGCATGTTAAAAAATAAATAAAAAGGAATCTAATTTTATTGATTTTTTTTTAAAAAAACATTTTTTGTAAAACCCAATCGAACAAACAAGGCAAACAGGCATTAAGTGTTATATGTCAGCAATAAGAAAACAAGCCTAACCACTCTTACCTCACCCTGAGTTTGCATATTTCTTCACTTTCTTCCTAGCAAAGTTGTTAAGGAGGATTTAGAAGCTTTTGCTTCAACTTTACATGAATCGTAGCATACCATGATGTAAATCATAATGCACTGTGATATTCTGGTTTAGAACTATGTCTATTTGACTACAGAGAGCCAGATTCAAGTTTGCTCTCAGCCATGGAAGCTCATTGGGTGACTTGGGACAGCACTTTCTCTCATTCCAACCTACCTCACACAGCAGTTTAATGGGGAGAAATTGAAGGAGGAAATGATAGGGACACCACCTTGAGCTCCTGACAGAAAGATAGGATCTAAATTTAATCAAGTGAATATAATGGCCAAATCTGAAAAACATATTCTCAAGTACTGAAACCATAGTTTATAAGTTGTTAGGAGCATGTTAAACAATGGCCATCAAATGGAAAATTTTATACTGCTAACAGCTTTGGTGAAAAAATGGAGGGGGGAAAGTTATTTATTTACTTAAATGATTTATAAATTCACACTTCCACAGCAATTATTCCGGGCAAAATACAAAGATTAAAATCTTTGTAACAATATAACCCATGGTGCCTTGGTTAAATAATAACCCCACATACAAAAAGCCAGATCACCATCAGAGGTCACTGAACTACCTGACCCAAATGCATAGGGAATTGCGCAAGAAGAATTCAGCATTAATATTTAAATGTATTCTATTTAGACTAGTTTCATTTATTCTAATTGTTCATAGGTCTTCATTGTTGCTGTATTAATATTATAAAGCACCTCAAACAATTTCTTTTAACTAGATAGCATTATGATTCAGCATATACTTTCTCTATGCAAAGTGGACAGCTTCTGGTCTATTAAAATTGCTCATCTTAATTTGACATGTGCATTAAATTATTCCATTTGTTAGAATATTATTAGAACAATTTGGAGCAGAATTCAGAAATATTTATTTTTATTCTAATAACTTTCTGAATAGTTTTTAGAATAAAAATAAATATTTCTGAATTCTGCTCCAAATTGTTCTAATAATGTCTAATTAACAAGTGGAATGGTAGCACTAGATGGACCTTTATTCTCTGTCGCTGGTATTCCTTATAAAGAGTACAATTTTAATAATACAATTTTGTCCTAACAACAGTACATGCTTGTTTTTTTTTTACCTGTTCAACAAGTAGTAATGGAGTATTTTATTTTATGGCTCTTTCTTCTTGTACTTTCAATTCTTTTTCATTTTCTGCATCGGACTTCATGAACAAATAAACAAGGAAATTAAAAATTTAAAAAGTACAGATTGAAGTTATTTAGAAACAAAGATTACTGGGAGATAACCAAGAAAGAAAATCTTACAAAATTACCTCCTGAAATATTTAGAAATATTTAACACCTCAGATTCCACATGTTCATGTTAAGATGGCACCTAATTTTTATTTCTCCTAAGCATGTATTTTGGAATATTTGAGGGAAAAAAACTAATATGTGGGCTTGGATTTTTGGAGAGAATTACATAGTGACTCCTCTGATTATATAACTCTACCTATGGACAAAAAAAAATCTTTTGAGAAAAATAGATATCTGAGTAAAAACAAGATGGTATTGCATATTAAAAGGAAAATGTTTATATCTATTTCAGTAATAAAATGGGAATGTCAAGAGTGATTCGCTTTTCACCTAGTTTCTTCTCCGCTCTCAACTTGACAACAATAGGGAGGGGGATGGTTGAATTGCATGGGGTGGGAATGGAATGCCAAGAATCTGTCTGCAGATTGTGAGACCCTGCTCCTCCCTTCAAGGCCACGCTACACAGATGTTTGAATGGTCCAGGCAGTTCCCATAACAAAAGGAACATATGTGATTGGATATTGCAATGGCCTAAAGGGGACAGCCAAAGGGGGAATTCAAGTTTAATTATGTGGACATTTGAATGAGAAATTCAGAGCTGGTTTTACTTCTTTTGTTCCAATGTAGTGTATTCAATAAAAGTGTTACTTTTGGGAAGAACTATGTCCCAGGAGTTCCTTATTTGGATTCGCTAGCTGGACATCTGACAGGGAGTTAACAAACTTTTCAGATTATATATTGATCACATTAATTTATTTAATTTTAATCTCAGGAGAATGGGGGCATTACTCTGGTGATTAATACATTGGCAGCCATAAGCTTTATCTTCTCCCCTTATGGCTTAGAGAGACTAGTAAGACAAAAATTTAAAGATTTATGATTTCTACTAAGATTTACCTCAAATTGTAATGATCAACTAAGACAGAGAGAATAAAGCTCATGTTCTATAGTTGCTCTAATATAAAACTGCCATTAGATATATCCAGCATAGGCAGTGTAGTCCAAACTATACTGAAGTTATCTAGAAGTTTATCTTTACCCTAAGATATATTTTGTTTGATTGATTGATTTGCTGCCCATCTCGCCTTGGGGCTACTCTGGGAAGCTTACAATAAAACGGAACAAAAATGATAAAAAATGTAAACATAACAACAGCAAAGGAATAAAACAATAAAAATAAACAATGAAAGTACAATAATATGAAATTTAAAAAGACGGGCAGAGGAGGAGCAGATAGCAAAGGGGGGAGGTGGGGGTCAGTTAATTAGTTTGGTAGCCTATAGTGATGTACTCCCCTGATGCAGCAATCCCCAACCTTTCTGATTTGGTGGCCTGGTTGGGGGGGCGGGGCAGAAGGGATGGTTCTGTGTGACAGGCAAGTGTGCATGTGAGTGCCCTCCACTCACACAAGTGGAGCTATGTGCACACGTGTGCTCGCTCGCAGCTCACGCGGCCCAGTTCCAAACAGGCTGCAGCCCAGTTTTAGATCAAGGCCCGGGTGGTTGGGGACCCCTGCCCTAATGGATCTCCAGACCAAATGGCAGAGCCAGGTTTTCAGGCCTTTCCTAATTATTGTTGAAGTTTGTGATAGCTTGTGTTTATCCCTGCATAGCTTTTATAACTAAAATATGAGGACAAATCAGCAGAAACAAAAATGTACATGCCAAATAAAAAAAAATACCAATAAACATCTCAGACACCATACCTTGTTACTTGCTTTTGCAGACCTTTTCTTTTTTGAACTATCTTTCCAAAGAGATTCTAGGCTTATATATGCTCGTAGACTCCAGTCATATAGGCGGAGGCCAGTTACCTTTCAAAAACCAGTGATATGATGATAGTTACCTTAAGAGGTATATTCTGGCTTGATCAATTTCAATAAATAGTACATATCTAAGTTTAGGTAAGTAGTATAGCAAATCATGATATTGAGAGAAAAAGCTATAAAGTAAACAAGATAGCAAGAAATAACTGCTAGTTTATTCAATTTATACTAAGACACCTTGATCATATACATACACTGCAATACACATTAAACGTTTTCAATTTCTCAGTGACACCATAAAATGAATGTATAAGTCAGCCATAAGTATTGCCCAGTATGACTTTATTATAATATAAATAAATAAGAAGAATAGTTGAGGTTTATTTGGGAAAGGCAGCACAAAAAAAGCATCTGATTTTCTTACCAAGTTTTGAAATAAACTGTAAGTAGAAATCTTGCTTTAAATTACTGCTTACAGAAACAAAGAGAAATCCCTGTGCCTATTTTACATAGCAACATCTTGCACTTTACCCCATATTGACAAGCAGTATTTCCAGAAAGCTTTTCAGGGGCCTCAAATCTCTATAGAGGAGAGGAATTTTTTTCCCCCCTTGTATAAACACCCTTAAATTTCCATGCTATAATTCAGTAGAAAATAAATTATAGAGTTACAAAATGTGAACAGATGTAGCTAAAACTATGTTTTAGAATAGTGTGAGATTTGACAGAAACAAACTGAAACATTTGTTTTCTGAGAACATTTACAGTTTAAAAACTGAAGTTCTGAATTTCAGCTACAAAAGCAGGATGCATAAGCTCTGTGTAATCATTAACAGAACTGAAAGCTTCCACCCTATAAACAACTTCAGCTGTAATCATTTCTATTACACTTTCAAGACTCATATAATAGATAGCTTTGTTCTATGGTTCAGTATTTAATGTTGGAAAATATTGTATTGTCTCAAATTATATTCAAGAAAAGATGGCTATACAGTGCTAATATACTTTTTAGCTGCAATTAGAATAGAATAGAATAGAATAGAATAGAATAGAATAGAATAGAATAGAATAGAATAGAATAGAATAGAATAGAAGCTGGAAGGGATCTTGGAGATCTTCTAGTCCAGCCCCCTGCTCAAGCAGGAGAACCTATACCATCTCAGACAAGTGACTGTCTAGTCTCTTCTTAAAAATCTCCAGTGATGGACTGCCCACAATTTCTGGAGGCAAGCTGCTCCACTGGTTAATTGTCCTCACTGTCAGGAAGTTTCTCCTTAATTCCAGGTTGCTTCTCTCTTTGATCAGTTTCCAACCATTGTTTCTTGTCCTGCCCTCTGGTGCTTTGGAGAATAACGTGACCCCCTCTTCCTTATGGCAGCCCCTCAGATACTGAAATACTGCTATCATGTCTTCCCTATTTCTTCTTTTCTTTAGACTAGCCAAACCCAAGTCCTGCACCCGTTCTTTGTTTTAGTCTCCACGCCTTTAATCATCTTAGTTGCTCTTCTCTGAATATTTTTCCAAACTCTCAACATCTTTTTTGTGATATGGTGACCAAAATTGGTTGCAGTATTCCAGGTGTGGTTCTTACTAGGGTTTAATTTGTTAAGTAGGCACATTTTATAGGCACCCCATAAAATTAATACATAAAATTGCTGCAACTTGATATTCCACTATTTGTACTGTTTCATGAGCAACACTATTATTTGTGCAGACTTAATTTTAGCATTTATAAAATAAAGAAACAAATTTCTATTCAGTTATATTAAAAAAATCTGTGTCTTCAACATTACTAAGAAGAGGAAAACATAGCTGATGAAAAAAGAAACTACAAGAACCTACAAAGTTTTTTCATGAGAGGCTCTGCAGAAAAAATAGCTATAAAAGTATGTGCTAATGAGAACATTTGGTTTCCTGATTATTCATTAAGGAAATAGAATTAGAGTTGCAAATCACTAAAATCTCCCCAACTGATATACTGGGATAAATAACAAATAATAATGAACTGGGACTAAGTAGACTCAACTATGAGATGTGTTTGAATATTAGTAGCTCGGATTGGTAGTTGGTTTGATCTCCAAGCTTGGCGATTTGGCTGCAATTTAAAGGCCGATGCTCTGACAGACGAGCACAATTCAAAGCGCACTGAAGATGCCTCCCTCCGAATGGGGATGAAACATTTGCAGCCAAATCGCCAAGCTCGGAGATCAAACCAACAGACTCAACTAGGTTTGTATGTGTGTGTGCACAAAGTCATATTCACTTATGGAATCCTACACTACAGTATATTAACCCAACACTTTGGACTGAATATATTACTTAAGAAAAGTTAAAGATTACAAGAAATATAAGGGTACGTGAATAAAAAGGATGATTTTCAATGATTACCTTGGCAACAGCAACTGTTTGCTGTGGATAGTAGAGAGCAGTACCAATCCCCATGAAGCTTATCGGGTACACCAATCTTTTAATTTTGGAACCTATTCCACAGAAGAAATGTTACTTCTGGTATGTGATATACTGAATAAGATGAAATTAAAAGGGCTTCCTATTTACATACATACTTAGTTATTTATTTAGAGTACGGCATACAATGTCAGGGAAATCTACACATGCTAGACACGATGCAGTCCTGATAGCCTAAATTGCTAGTTCATTCTGTTTGGCGCTTGCCTGTCTATCCTTGGTGCACCACAGGGGACAAACTAGCTTACACTAGCTGATTAGTGGTGTTCAGGGTGCTGGCTCTTTCAGGCAACTCTGCTGGTCTTGCCTCGCTTTGTCTCATGTTGCATTGTCTCATATCCAGCTAGGTCCAGAGCTGGCTTCCCCTCATCGCACACACAAACATAGCTAAATTTTTCCTATCAAAGTGATATCTATTTATCTACTTCCAATACTGCATGCTTTCAAACTGCTGGGTGGGCAGGAGCTGGGGAGCAAGTGGCAGGAGCTCACTCTGTCTTACAGAGCTGGTATCGAACCGCCAGTGTGCAGACCATTCTGCTGGCCAGCATCATTAAGCCACTACACCCACCGCGTCCCCAAAAGGGCAGATTCTTAGCCACACTAAGTTACATAATCTTTGTATTACTATTATAGGAATTACTTTGGCAATAGGTAGACTGGGGAAAATATGTTAACTGATGACAATTAGATATAAAGATATAGGAAAACAGGATAGTGAAGAACAAAGGAATATTAAACACTGTAGCAAAATGATGCAAGCCTGGCTTTGGTCTTTGAAAGACCCTACCCACATATTCTTAATTTATAATTCAGTCTCCATATTCCAAAATATCTGGGAAAGAACATATTGCCTACCCCTGGCCTAGCCACGTAGATAGATTCAACAAGTGATAAACACTTGCTCTATTCATAAATGCTATTTATGAATAACCAGTGCTTATATTGTGTCAGATTATTCATTTATCAATTGAGCCCAGAAGGATCTCTGACTAATAGCAGAGACAAGGTTTAGTCAGGATTCTTTTCTACCTTTTCTACCTCTACTTCATCTACTAGAGACATGTACCTTATAGCTAAGCTATGATTTTTAACATATGACTTCAGCAACAATATGAAAACAGTGTTTTGCCATGTTTGTCTATTAAATATACAGTAACTGATGGCTTTAAAAGAGGATCATGATCTATATAATGTCATTCTGTACAAGAATATGTACATTCTCCCTGTATAAAAAATGAGTCATTAAATGCATAATCATCATGTTTCTGTTCCTTAATGGAATTTACTTTTGAATTAGTTGATACAATTGTTGGTTTATAATAAGTATTTTTACACCTGTATTATGCATGGTCCTCTTGTCTGAAACATGTCCAGCTTATTCCAAATAAATTCTAATGTTGATCTATTGAATTTTGTAGTTTAATGATGGTAAAACTCTGGTTGAGCATCATAGTATCAATTAATTGTACATTGCAGTTTAAGTTCTGCCTTGCTGAAAGAGTAAATGGACACCAAAATTTGAACAAACATTGAAAACAAACATACCTCTTGCCAAGAACAATCCAACAATACCAGCAAAACCTATAACACCAAGCCTTGGATAAAATCCTGGAGGTGGAGCTTTGATGATTTCATAATTCTCTTAAAAAAAAAACCAGTAGCACATTACCTATTCACACCTATTTTCTAGAGTATTTAAATATTATTCCAGAGTATTTAATTATTATTTGTATATTTCCATTATATATAGCTAGTTACAAAATTAGAAAGATATTTGATATATTATTATCTAATATAATAAAGATATATTAGTTAGAAAGATATTTGCACTTTGTCCTTGTGACAATCTTGTTGGTAGGTCAGACTAAGAAACAATGATTAACTAAGAAGTATCAATTAACTTTTATGTGCTTGCTCTCCTTAGCCAGGCTGCTCATGATGGGTATGAGGGAAAAGTCAGAGGGAGGTGCACTCCCTCTCCATGGGAGGAGACCCGGCTTTGTATCCAAAGTTTCCTTAGCAATAGGATGGGAGACCGCAGGATAGGCCAGGAGGAGGAGGCAAAGGGATGGTGAAAGGGCAGCAGGGCAGGACTAAGGCAGGACTTCTCTCAGACCCTCCCTCTCCTTCCTTCCTTCCTTCCTTCCTTCCTTCCTAAGAACAGAGTGGTGGGAAAATATTTGAGATGAGGGAGGGAGAAAAACAGGCAAGAAACACAGCTGGGGAGGTGTCACCCTTTGTGAGGAATGAAGAAATGCACCATCGCCTGGAAGTGGCCAACACATGGCCCTCGCCTACTTCACATATCTGGCTTGGTGGGCTTTGGGGGAGGGGATGCCATGAGCAACGTGAGAGTCAATGTTACCTGTGCAATGCCGCCCAGCCCCCAGCCTGCCTGGTTTCGGCAGGCAGCGAGGCACTTTCCTCACAGTGCCGAGAGGTTGAGCCAGGCAGCGCAAATACGAAAAGAAGCGCGACACCACCCAGCCCCCAGCCTGCCCGGTTTCGGCAGGCAGCGGGGCGCTCTCCTCACAGCCGAGAGACTGAGCCGTGCAGTGCAAAGCTTGCACTTTGCTGCCTGCTGAAATTGGGCAGGCTGGGGGCTGAGTGGCAGCACACTTCTTTTTGGATTTGTGCCGCCTGCCTCAGCCTCTTGGCGCTGTGAGGAGAGCGCCCCGCTGCCTGCCGAAACCCCTCCCCTGGAGCCCATCAAGCCGGATATGTGAAGTAGGCGAGGGCCATTTGCTGGCCACTTCCAGGCGATGGTGCATTTCTTCATTCCTCACAAAGGGTGACACCTCCCCAGCGCGTGCCCAGGGGGCGGGACCAATGTGGCAGGGGCTGGTTCCTCGGTGTTTCCAGATGGCCTTGTGGAACTAAGATGAATGCGTTTCAGCATAAATGGCCACCACAAAATTGTACATTGGCTCCCAGGCGACCTGGGTCGGGGCCAAGGCAGCGGGGGCCATTCCCTCACTGTTTCCAGGATGGCTTCGCGGGCTACATGAAACCACGTCGCGGACCGCATCCGGCCCCGGGGCCTTGTGTTTGACATGTCTGTTCTACTGTTATCAGAAGGGTGGTATATGACCTTATTCATAAAACATAGGCAGTGGGAATGTAAACAGACTGTATAATGAAGTTACAGTACTTTAAAAATATGTACAGTAACACAAGCACAGTACAGTAACAATGTATTATAATATTTCCAAAATGCGTATAGTTTAATTTCTGGAAACATGCTCTCACCTTTAACATATTCACAGGCCTTTTCTATCTTAGGCATAACTTTACCAGTACAGTCCTAAAAAGGGCAAAATTGAATCAACTATTAGTATATTAAAAGATTGTGGCATTTCTTCCAAAGCAATTTAAGTATGGGCTATTTCTTGGACTTCCCAGTGTAAACCACGGGCCCTGGCATTTTTAATCCAATCCTGATTAATTTTGTGAGATCAGGTAAGATTGGCTACCACCAAAATAACTGAGTTGACAAAGTAATAACACTGAACACAAGAGAAATAGGTTCTCCTTGTATAATTTCTGCAATAAATTGCTTATACAACAACCTTATACAAATTATTCAGTTCTTGGAATGGTAACAAAATGAAGTGCTATACCTGAACCCAAGCTGCGTATGGCTCCAAAGAATGCCGCAGATGAGAAATAGTTTCTTCCAGTTGTGACTCTGGATCTTCCACATACTTTGATTTTGGTGATGGACTGGTATAGAGTGAAAGCTGTAAATAGCAGTAAATACAGTTACTATTTATGTTCCAATAAAAGTGTATATTGGAGGGGTTCTCCACATGGGAAATTCTTCTACATAAACCAGAATGAGGCAGCATTGCAACACTGCAACACACCTTCATAAAAAAGAATAACTACATTAGAAGAGATCTAAATTATGGATCTACATACTGAAATTAGAGAATGGTTGAATAAGCAAATCATTTAGAGAAAAGATAGACTCATACCTCATCAACCTTTAGTAGGTTCTTTTTGGAAGATTTATTCTCAGCAGAATCAGCATAAACCTGCACAGCAAGCAAGCTTAAGGTACCAGGTGCAGCAATCAACTGCCTTATCTAAATGTAATAAAAACAGGGATATTTCATATGTACAAATGGAATTGAACATACATAATTGCATTTCAAACATGAATTACGCAAGTTATTGTCACGACTCTGCAGAGTTTTATAAAGTAGAAACTGAAAGATGCATATAAATCCACAAAAGCACATTTTTGAGCTTCAATAAGGCTGTTCCTTGTATCTCCTGTACTTGGTGTGTATTATGTCAAATATGTAAGCTTTTAAACCTGTATTATTGGAAGAAAAAAATCTACAGGAGCCAGGAACTAAAAACAAAGCACTGGGCTGATCATGGGGAAAAAAACCAATGACATTTTCAAGAAGAGATGTAAACATGTTTTTGAAAAGCATTCATTCTCTTGATCAAATTACAAGGTCAGGTTTTTATGATTAATTAGTATTTGCTCTGGACACCACGACCTAATCCTAGGAACAAGGGAGTGGCAAGAATTCACTTTTATTCATTGGTTCATCAGGAATAGCTCTCCTTTTGGAAGTTCAACACTTCTACAATTCCCTCAAAAATAGCAGAAGTTTAAAACAAAGTCAAATCTTGAATGCATGCAGTTAAATCCTAATACTTCTTGCCATTAACAAAATTCTAAAACAGGGCTTTTCAACCTTTTCATATATTGTACCACTTTCAGGACATGACAATATTTGAGTACCATCAGTGCTTAGCAAGGTGTCAAAAACTTGATGACTAAAAAGGGGGGGGGATTTTGGGTTTTACGGATCAGATTCATTTGTTGTTATAGAAATAGCTAGTTTATAATATTATGGAAAAGTAAAAAGTTGAGGTTCAATGTTAATGGTTCTTTCTACTGCAACAGAGGAAGTCTGTTCTTTTTCCCTTCTCCCCCTCACTTTCCCCCCCTTTTTCCTCCCCACTGTGTCCTACTATTTGCTTTTGTATTTTTGTATTTTATTCTATAATCTAATAAAATATTACAAACTGTAGAAAAAAAGGAAAAAGTACCAGTTTTAATTTCTTTGGTGGCAGTTCCTTTGCTGAATCACTTCCCCCTTGCACTGACAAATGCATGATAAATTTATCCATGTTTATTAATAGGCACCACTACCAGCTAGCTCAGGGGTCTTCAAACTTGGCATTTTTAAGACTTGTGGACTTCAACTCCCAGAATTCCTCAGCCATCACGGCTGGATGAGGAATTCTGAGAGTTGAAGTCCACAGGTCTTAAAGTTGCTAAGTTTGTAGACCCCTGAGCTAGCTGGTCAGCCCTTCTTCCTCTCTCCCTTCTGAGCACAGTGTAGTAAGAATGTACCCTCCATCCCTTCCCTGTACCTTTAAGGACACAGGAATCAAGTGCAAAGCAAGAAAGGCTCACAAAATAAAGAAACACATAAATTCTGGATTTTTTTTTCCTTTAAGCTGCCTCAGGCGTGTCATGTGTCACAATGTTGCAATTCGAGACTGAAAGGCTCTGGCAATTGCAAAAAGCTTTAACCTTAAATTAAGCCTGTTTACTTTCAAATAAAACTTTCTAAAAGCCATAGACAGACTCAAGATAAGAGAGTAAAACTAATTACATTTGTTTAAAGGGATTAAACCTACAGAAGTCAACACTTTGGACTCATTACTAGCCTAAAATACAGACTAAAATGTTCCAATAACCAAAGCACACAAAGGAGCCTCTGAATTACAAAACTCTGTAAAAACTGTACAAAAATCCTTATGGTAACATAATCAAGCTGCCAACTGATCCAGAACTAAATAAACCCACTTCCTTTCCGACATGCTCATTTGCCAGCGCTGACTGCAGTCTCCTGGCTGGAGAAAACGAACCAGGGGACCTTTTTTCCAGCAACAGCTGCTGCTTCTTCCCTGTCTGTTTCCTCCCGGCCTGCTGCACAATCCTCCTCTTTCCCTGTTGTCTTTTTTTCCCTTTCCCGCCCAAACCACCTCCTTTTATAGCCTCTCCTTTCCTCCCCCCCTTTTTCTTCAGTTCACCTCCAGCTCTGTGCTGCTGCTTCCGGAAGCGCCAATCAGCTGGAGCCCTGCCTGCTCCTGGGGCTTCTGCAGAGCCCAGACAGTCCTGCAGCTGCAGCTGCCTCTCCCTCAGGCTTGAGTCACTTCGGCTCATTCCCCTCCCCCGCTACACTTGGCTAGCAGTCGCATATCACCTGCCACGTGGCAAAGTGCCACAGGTGGTACGCGTACCACCGGTTGAAAAGTCCTGTTCTAAAACAATCACATCACAAATAGATCTATGCAGATCCTTGCAGAGAAAACACAGGATGGTTTCAAAGCAGCCACACAGCTTTCTAGGGAATGCAGTTACTCTGCAAGAATGTTATTTGGGTGTTAAGGACTCAGCTAAAGCAGCAGTGATCTGCCATAGCTACAAACTATACAATTTGGAGGGGACGGTATCTGCTCTTCCAGGATAAAAGAAGGTAAGCCTACTTTTAAAAATAAAATTGCTTATGTATGGATCTCTTTGCCACTATACTCTGTATTAATAATGTGAGTTGTCAATGGCTCATAGTACTTAATCATACAAAAATTATGAATTACGGAAAACCCAGGCATAAACCTGAGAACTTTACTCATTGAGTAGCTCAATCAAATTTTCTAGGACATAGAGTCACAATACAGGCTATTTCCATTTTGTAATTTGAACAGCTCAAATTGCTCAAAATTCAATCCATACAGAAGCAAGAACAAAACAATATGACCGTATGGCTATATTTTCTTAGACTGGATTTTGTTATACAAATGATTCTCTGGCTTAAATTTTGTAATGCTAATACATGCTTTTCATTAGAGTTGGCCAAAACAAAATTGTCATTAATTACATCACTTGTTTCACCCAATAGCACATTAAACAGTAAAGGTAAAAAAACACAACTGCAGCCCCCCCCACTATACTGAATAGCACAACAGACATATTCAGAGATTTGTCTTCACTTAAAGTAAAATCTCTTTCAATTGCTAGTGACAAATTCCTGTAGTTCACTTCTCAACAACATTAAAATGATTTGCTAATGCCTTACTTGTGTAGAATATTTTGTGACTATATAATCTGACCTAGAGTCATGGAATTTCCTGGTCATCTCCCAACCATTTTTTAATAAAGAATGCTCTTATTTAGCTCCTGTGGCCAGAGAAAATCAGACGCCATCTGCTGAGGCACTTCAATTATTATTAATTATTATTTTTAATTACTATTCTCTGTCTCTTGGGCTAAGTAGATAGAATGTGTACTACTGATAAATAGCAAAATTATAGAGGCTTTTTGTTTTCAAATAGAAGGGTTGGGCACTATTTAATTAGAACTCTAGTTATTTAAATTGGAGTTAGGAAAAAAGTATCAATAAAACAATTCTGGGAATACATGTGACTACATAGCCTAGAACAGGGCTTTTCAACCTTTTCACAGATTGTACCACTTTTAGGACATGACAATATTCGAGTACTACCAGTGCTTAGCAAGGTGTCAAAAACTTGATGACTAAAAAAAAGGGAGGGGGGATTTTGGGCTTTACTGGTTAGATTCATTTGTTGTTATAGAAATGGCTAGTTTATATTATGGAAAAGTAAAATGTTGAGGTTCAATGTTAATGCTTCCTTCCTACTGCAACAGTGGAACTCAGAAGGCAATGACTTTTCTTTTTCCCTTCTCCCCCTCACTTTTCCCTTTTTCTCTCATACTTCACTCGCAACCCCCCTCACCCTTTGCTAGTAAAAGCCTCTAGCTTGCTCTCATTCACTCACACGTTGCTCGCAAAAGCTTCTCTTGCTCTCATTCACAAACACGTTGCTCGCAAAAGCTTCTCTCTTGCTCATTCACACACATTGCTGGCAAAAGCTTCTCTCTTGCTCATTCACACACGTTGCTTGCAAATGCTTCTCTTGCTCCATTCACTGACATGTTGCTCACAAGTTTCTCTCTTGCTCTCATTCACTCACGTTGCTCGCACAAGCGTCTCTCTTGCTCAATTCATTCACACGTTGCTCGCACAAGCTTCTCCCTTGCTCCATTCACTCACACGTTGCTCGCAAAAGCTTCTCTCTTGCTCCATTCACTCACATGTTACTCACACAAGCTTCTCTCTTGCTCCATTCACTCAAACATTGCTCGCACAAGCTTCTCTTTTGCTCTCATTCACTCACACATTGCTCGCAAAAGTCCCTCACTTGCTCTTTCACTCATCCTTCGCTCGCAAAGGCCACAAAAGAGAAGCAGTGGCTATCAATGAAGGGTCCTGAGTTACCACATGCACAGCCATTAGAAAAAGCTACGTAGTATAGACACCGGTAATGAAATATTTAGAAAACAACCCACAAGCTCGGAGAACAAACCTTCACCCTCATCCTACACCCAAGCTACAGATATTCGCCACTATTGCAAACATGCAATAATGTTTTTTCTCACACTGCCCAGCATGCACACTTTCATTTAGTCACCATGAGTATCAATTACATTAAAAATGGATTCAGAGAAAAGAGGGTAATAGATTGTTTTAAATATATATTTAGAACTTATATTTAATATAAATATACAGTATATAAGCATGATGGCTTGATTACTGCAATGTGGTCTACATGGGAGTGACCTTGAAGAGTATCCAGGGGCTTCGACTGGTGTGGTATGCAATGTATGCCTTATTATATCCATGTAATTCTTCTGATTTGCATGCTGCAGTTGCCAGTTTAGCCCTATATAGAACCTGGTTATAAATGTGGTTCTTTATCCAGGCCTTTGATAGGGATGACTGAAGCCTCATTTTAATTTAGGTAGTGTTCTTTTGTTTAAACTTGGTTGGTTATACTGTAATATCCACCTTTTTTGGTTTTTTTTTGTTATATTCATTTCATGTTTTCATGTTTTTTATCATTTGTAAACTTTCCAAAGTCATGTCATATTTTCATGTTTTTTATCATTTGTAAACTTTCCAAAGTCTCTAGGAATTGGGCAGCATATAAATTTAATAAATAATAATTACTATACATCCTAATTTTCAAAATGCTACACATTTCCAGTACCAACCTACTTTTACAGAACTGTTGTGGGGAAAATAGAAGGGAGCATTGTGTATTGTGAATTGCCTTGAGTTACTTACAAATAATAAAGGCAGGATACATACCCATCTAATAAATAAATAAATAAATAATACATAAATTCAATCTATCTAACAATTTAACAGTAAAATCCATTTCCTGGAGAAGTCTCCAGAATATGTGCAAACAGGTGCTAGACTGCCATCTGTTGGATATACTTAACTACATTGAGTAGTGGAGCTGAACTCAAGGATCTTATTTTATTATTCTATTTTAATAGAGATAAAAAAAACTTTAAACTGACAGCACAAATAGTTTATATAACTGAGGAATAAACCAATATATCCACATTGTATTATAAATGAACAGTCAGCCTGAAAATAGGTTTCCCATTCAATAGTGAAAAGGACATGATTTCTCTTTTACAGGCTAGTTGACAATATGAATTTGAATGTTCATATGGATTATGAACTGGATGTTATTTCTAGACAATTATCTGTTGGTGTAATTCCTCCATATCAGGTTAATGTTTAGCTTTGTTAAGTGCTGTATTTTAATTTTTTTGTATATCTGTTCTACAAGACAAACATGTTTTCAAAATAAGAAGTTCACCATTCCTTTTACGACATCTTTCTCCAAATTTATTTCCTGTAGTTTAGATATGCAACTATATACTGACTAGGAACCACAGAAGTTGTGATTCAGGACTTCTGGAGGCATTCAGGTTGACAAAAGTATGCATTCATTCAATCGTCTATCTCAATCTTGCAATCAACTTTAAAATGAACACAGCAGCTGAACTTTTTTTTTAAAACGTGAGTGTTTTAGTCTTTTTCACATTTCATTTTTACATCATTTAACATGAGGAAGAGTTAATATTTTGTGACTTTTTCCTAATTCTAATAAAGATAACTATACATTCAACCATACAACTATACATTCGGAAGTGTTACTTTAATTTTAATCATCGCTTTTTTAGTCAATAAGCTGTTCATATCTCATCATGCGCTCGTCTTCTTTCTCCTGTCTTGCCGTTCCTTATTTATTTACTCGGTAACAAATGTTGGTGGGCGAGGCTGGATAAACTGGCATGAGTGCAATACCGCCACCTCTTCGCCTAGCCCAGGGGTAGGCAACCTCGGCTCTTTTATGACTCATGGACTTCAACTCCCAGAATTCCTGAGTCAGCTATGGGCCTAGCCTGAGTCAGCTATGGGCCTAGCCCATCTCCAACTAACAAGCAAAAGCCCAAGGAGCAAGTACTGCTCTACAGATGATCTCAGCTCAAAACACGCACGTTGCAGGGGCAGCACCAAAGATGGAGAAGGCTATGTCGCCAATTTCTTCCTAAAAGTACTAAGGAAACTTTCTCACCTTGAACATGGCGGTGAAAATGTGTTCTCCTGAAGTGTAGCCAGGGCTCATGACGTAAAAAGTATGCGCTTGATATACGGGTACTGTACTGTAATGGCAAAAGCCGACGGACGTTACGTGCCACTTTAAGGGGGGGGGAACACTACTCGAAGGCGGGTTTTGCCTGTCCTGCTTTCTGTTGTGTAGAGCGTCTAGTATCTAGGCAACCGCTAAAAGCGGTTGGACTGAAGACGCTGAGAAAACGGGTCTTCGAGCGAAAGTGAGGTATGATGTGGAACGATACGCCCTTATCGCCTTCCGTCCTAAAGGAAAAGGAAAAGGAAAATCAGAGGTAAATCTCCCTCCCTGTTATTCCAGGAGTTCGACTCTAATATGAGATAGGGATAGCATAACCAGGTTTTGAAATCTGTTGTGAACGACAACTTGTTCCCTTTGTAGTTCACAAAATCATATAAGCTATATGTTCGATCTAGCACACTTGCCTACAAATAAAAAACAATTGTCTCTTTCCAGCAGGGAAATTGAACTTACTTTGTTGCCTCTAAATTCAGGGACCCCGATTGTGGCGCGGAACTGATAAGAAGTTGACGCCTGAATTTGAGAGACACACAAAGAGACTTCTTTGCCCACTTGAAAATACGAATCACCAAGTAATCAGGCAAAGCAAAAAACATTTATTAAGGGGAAGATCAAGTATTTTTATAGGGTATAGAAAGTACAGAAACAAATTTGTTATATATAATACGTCAGAAAGCAAGTGAAACAATAAAATACACTGATCAATCAATCAGAATAGAGCTGGAAGGGACCTTGGAGATCTTCTAGTCCAGCCTCCTGCTCAAGCAGGAGACCCTATAACATTTCCAACAAGTGACTGTCCAGTCTCTTTTTAAAAACCTTCAGTGATGAAGCACCCACAACTTCTGATGGCAAGCTGTTCCACTGGTTAATTGTTAGGAAGTTTCTTCTTAATTCCAGGTTGCTTCTCTCCTTGATTAGTTTCCACCCATTGTTTATTGTTCTGCCCTCTGGTGCTTTGGAAAATAAGTTGACCCCCTCCTCTTTGTGGGAACCTCTCAAATACTGGAATACTGCTATCAGGTCCCCCCCTAGTCCTTTTCTCTAGACTAGCCAAACCCAAATCCTGCAACCGTACTTCATATGTTTTAGTCTCCAGGCCTTTAAACATCTTAGTGAAAAATTTAAACAGTAGAAAAGACTGATTCTACATAACATTCCACAAGTGGCACATTTATGGGTTACATTATTTTTTCCCATTTGAGTTTGTATCATTCTTAAAACTTGCAAGGGACTGCCACAAAGAAGAGGGAATCAACTTACGGTATTCTCTAAAGCACCTGAAAGCAGGATAAGCAGTGGATGGAAACTAATCAAGAAAAGAAGCAACTTAGAACTAAGGAGAAATTTCCTGACAGAACAATTAATCAGTGAAATGACTTGGCTCCGGAAGTTGTGGGTGTTCCAAATTGGGGGTTTTTAAGAAGAGAGTGGATAACCATTTCTCTGAAATTGTATTCTGCCTGAGCAGGGAGTTAGAACACCAAGGTCCCTTCCAACTCTGTTGTTCTGTTAAGTGTATTCAAGGACTTTCAGAATACTGTTCTGCTCCATTCAGTCTCCATTCAGGGGTTCAACAATACTGGACAGATCTCATCAGAGGAGTCAGACAAAGAGTGTCTATCTCATAAAAATTATGGTGAGATGTAAATTACAGAAACCCATACTGGCTCAATCATTGCCCAGTCAATAAAGACCACACTAGGTGTTGGAGTTCTTGGACATCTGGTGAAAAATGGGCTATATGACTCAGGACTGTTGGCTGAATAACCAGGGCTAGCAACTGTAGAAATGCTGGAAGAAAAGGTATTTGCCCATTGCAAATATACAGAGATAGAAAACAAAGAAATAATGATCTGTTATTACAGATCAAACCCAACAAGAAAATGATATTTGAAAAGAAAGCAAAGGTAGTACCAATAGTAATAGGTTACAGTCCCAAAACAACTGGAGCACCACTTGAACACCATTGGCATTAATAAATTTACCATCAGTCAATTGCAAAAGACAGCTTTACTCAGGGTAGCTTACATCTTGCGACAATACCATCAAACGTCAGCATCTGCCTGTCCCAGGTCCTTGGGAAGGACTCGATAGGTGGATAAAAATGCCAAATTAGTCTGAACATCTGGCTGACTATGTGATTAACCATATAATACTATTAGGTGCCTTGAATGCAATCCCAAAACAATTGGTGCACCACTCTAACACCATCGGCATTGACAAAATCACCTTCAGTCAATTGCAAAATGCAGCTTTACTCGGAACATATATTCTGCCATAATATCTTCAATACAGTGAAACATTAATATCTGCCTATCCTAAGTCCTTGGGAAGAGCTAAGTAAGTTGATAAAAATGACAAATCCAGTCTAAACATCTGGCTGACTATGTGACCAAGCATAATAATAATATTAACACCACCCTATTGCATGTCCTTGGCAAGGACTCAGTAGGTGGATATAAATTCCAAAACCAGTCTGACTGTGCAACGAGTCATAATATACTCTTTATTGCTTAAAGTGCTGAAAAGACAAGTTCTCCCATATCAGTAGAAATGGCCTTGGCTAACAAACAAAAATATATTTTCCTGAAGTTAGAAAAGAGGCCCAGACTGCCAGGTTAAAATGCTAACATCACTTTTTAAAATGCTAATAATGAAGCCTAAAATTCCAAATAATACTATTTTGATGATGATGATGATGATGGTGATGGTGATAAAAATGAAATGCCATGCTTAATATGGTAAAAAAAATCAGAAATCGGGATAGTGACCACAAAACTAAATGAAAAAGGAGTAACTTTTAGATGGCTGGTTCCGGAGGGGATCCTAATCAATTGGAATTCCAGAAGATACAGATTGGACTCTACTTTTAAAGCAAGAGAATGTCAGCTCTACAAATGAGCATGGCTGCAGCCATTTTCCTTCTCATTCTAGGTTGCCACATAGAACGGAGGGAGGGGGGTTGCCCAGGTGCTTCGTTAGTCAAAATAATCTTTTGTCCCCATCGGCTGCTCCTGAGACTAGACTGGGCGTTGCATAAAAAGCCCGCCAAATAATCATATTGGAGAACGCAATTGCTTACATAGCTTTTATGGGTGGGACATTTAATTTTGTATTGGGAAATTGTTGCTTGTGTATCCAGACTTGGTTTCACTCTTGACGATGCTGATACTTTGTAACTAATAAACATGTTCTTTGAGGAATTTGCAAGCCTCAGAGATCTGCTTTATTCATCTCTGTCTGTCAGAACCATGACAATAAACCAAGTCTGGATACAAGCAACAATTTCCCAGTACAAAGTTAAATAAAAAGCTATGTAAGCAACTACGTTTCCCAATATGACTATGAAGAAGGAAGAATCTTAATGGCGGAAACAATGATAAATCAAAAAAAGATATTGATGATAGTAATATATGCACCAAACAATAAACAAGAATTTTATCAAAAACTACACAGGAAAATATTGGAAATGGAATATCAAAATATTTGTCTAGTAGGAGATTTCAACGCAATCGTGGATGAAAATTAGATTACAAAAGTAGCAAAATAAGGGGGGGGGAGGAAGAAAGAGACTCCCCAAAGCTTTTTTTCAAATGACAGAAGAAATACGTGTACAGGAAGTTTGGAGAGAAATGAACTTTAAAAAGACTCAATATACATTTTACTTGAACAGACATAAATCATGGTCCAGAATTGATAAGATATGCATGTCCCCTGAACTAAGAACCAATATACAAGACATTGAGATAGAACCCAATATTTGGGCTGACCATAATCTGATAAAAATGATCTGGAGAGGAGCAAAGAAGAAATTACGGAGGACACTGAATCAATCACCAATAAAAGATAAAGAATTTATAGAAATAGCAGAAAAGAAAATGAATTTTTTCTTTAAAGAAAATAAAAAAGAAGAAACCTCACTCCAGAACATATGGGACACAGCCAAAGCATACTTTAGAGCAGGGGTTCCTAACCAGGGGTGCGAGACGATATTTCAGGGTGTGCGAAAACTTGGGTTTTCAAAATTATAGTGTATATGCATAATTCATTGCCGTTATTTCTAACCTTTGTAAGGGGTGCGAGAATATATCAGAAGCATTCTAGGGGTGCGGGGTATAGAAAAGGTTGGGAACCACTGCTTTAGAAAATTAGTTATAAGCTATATGGCAAAAAAGAACAAAGAGAAAAAACAACAATATACCATGCTAAGGGAAGAGTTTAAGAAATTGGAGTTAGAACTACAAAAAGATCCCCAAAAGAAAACTCTGAAAAGACAAATAGAGATAAAACACAAATTAAACCTAATAGAGTCAGGAGAACTGGTTCAACAAATCAAAAGGGCAAATCAAAACTCAAATAAACTAAAAAAAGAAAGAGAGGAAAAACTTGATAAATAAACTGCAAGATGAGAAGGGATTTCAAAATGATGCAATAAAAAATAGTTAAAGAATTTTATGAAAAATTATATGAGATAGAAAAAATTTCTTTGAAAAAAACAGTACAATACATGTAAAAAGCCAACCTACCAAAAAATCCAGAAACCTCTAAAAACTTGTTAAATGAAAAAATAACAATGACGGAACTGATGGAAGTTATAAAAGGACAAAAAAAAATCATAAAACTCCAGGTCCAGATGGGCTACCCACAGAGTTCTATAAATGCTTACAAGACACATTAAGCTTTCCAATGAAGGAAGTTTGTAATGAAGTACTATTAAAAGCTAAAATACCAAATACATGGATAGAAGCAAACTTCATTTTAATATCAAAAGAGGACTGTGACTTGACACAGATAAAAAACTATATAGACCAATATAATTACTGAATGTGGATTACAAAATTTTTGTTTCAGTAATAACAAGGACTGAAAAGAATTTTGATGGAATTTATCCATCCAGATCAAAATGGATTTCTACCAAAAAGACAAAACATAACCTAAGGATCATTTTGGATACGTTGGAATATTATGAAATGCACCCAGGAAAACAAATGGCACTAATTTTTCT